AAGTGGAAATTTTACAATAATAAATTCTATCCTTTTCATTATGTTGCTCATTACAACATCAACTTCAAACCATAAACTGTGAGGTTATGGAGTTTTTCCTAAGTCAAACAGAAATAAAGAATTTTTTTGTTTTTCATTCTGCCTTTAACAGAAATTAAAACCTTATACTTGAGGATTACAGAATACTGTACCTTAGATTATATTGTAATGTACCTTAGATTATACTGTAAAACAAAAACCCATTCTTTAAATGCAACTTATTTATTCTGTTTATCATGATGTGTAAAGAGTAAGATATAATGAACTATGTATTTAAACATTTTTAAATACCAAATGCTCAAATACTTTCTACTGTAGAATAAACTCTAATCTTACTTTGCAGGGTACCAAAACTGAACTAATTCTTAAATGTTTAATGTTGTCTTTTTTATTTTATCTGGTCCAACATGTTTATTTAATGCAAATCACCTACATTAAAATGAACCTTCTTGAACTCAGTGAAATTGCTCATGATTGATATGACCATAAAACAATCTAATTATAAGCAGTTTTGATTTTGTAGGTTGTTTTCAGTGACTTTCCCCAAATAAAATAAGATCAAGATTTCCTAGTACAGACACAAGAGGGCAGACCTACATAAAACAATGAATTTCCTCCTGTCTAGAAGTTATTTATCCTTTGATTATTTTTGAGTCTTCTGGAAAAGCGAGAAAACGGTAAAATTTCAAAAACATTTGCTCTTCTTCTAAGTAACAGCACACTTTAAAATGTCTAAAAATTATATGCCAATACTACACAGAAAAGATGACAGATTGAAAAAAGCCAAACATATTAATAAGTTTATTCATTAAAACATGTATACAAAAATCAATTATATGCATTTTAGTTAGCTAGTGAATGTTATATCCTATCTATTGAGAGTGTCACAGTGTCCACATCTTTCAATGCAGTTGTGCTATATTATGTTAAACAGTAAAAAAGTTAAAAACAAAACAGGGTGCAAAAATAAGAATAAAAACAAGAAAACTTTCTTTTCAGAGAATGTAATAGAATACACAAAATGCTCTCACATTAAAAATAAAACCTTTCATTCATATGTGATATTAGACAAAAAGCAAGTCATTTAGCTTTAAGTCATTCTACCAAATATTTATATTTTTTATTTATATAGGAGAAATCTTCCAGTAAAATACGTTGAAGTCATTAGGTGCCAATATCCTGGCTGATCAAGCCTTTCCTTGGTTAAAACAAGCACAAAATTTTATCTTCCTCCTCTTAATGATTGCAACCCAGAACTCAGAAAGATCCTACAGAATATAAGAGAAAAGAAGAACTACTTTGTCAATAAAGAGAACACTTCTTCACTTCTGTCTGGGGGGTCCACGGTGAGCTTATATGGACCCAATGGACACTGCTGTGTGTAGAAGTATGTATCCTCCAATCCCTTCTCACCCCACCCCAAAAGGGAAATGCAAAAGGGTCCTGGAATGGGAAACAGTCTTTCCAAAGAGAAGATGATAAGACTTTGCTGTTTGTTTTTCTCTTATGTCATAGTCCATGTAGGGTTAGACAGCTTTTGGGGAAGGTGGAAAGAGAGCAGCAAATGTAGAACAGAGGAACGAACCAAAGATTGTGGTGGACATTGCACATGGAGGCCTATATTCTAATCAACTGAGGGCATTGATGGCTTCTCTTCATTCACAAGGGAAAACGCTTCAGAGTGCCACACCACCTACACTCTAGCTGATTTAATAGGAAACCATGGGAATCAAAGAACACCATGCACATAAGACTGTGAGGCTGGCTCAGTAATTATTTAGAACTGAGTTCTAAGAGGAGTGACACTTCCATGTTACAATACTAAACTTTTGAGGGTGTAAAGGGAGAAAGGAGGTGCTGAGGATCAATTGAGATAAAACACTCTGACAGCTACAAAGTTCTAGATAAATTTATGGTGATGTTAGATTGTGACTCTCAGCCAAATTCCTTTTCTTTGTTGCAAATAGTTTTTGTGTTTTTTTTTCTTCACAGTGACAAACAGTTGTCCTTGAAAATCATACACATTCTCACAATTTATGAGATGGGATAATTATTATTAAGCTTCCCTTTATGCAAAAATTAGACTAAAAGGAAATCAATGTTTTTAAAGAGACTTAAGACAAAGATGACTTAAAATACAGTATTTAGAGGCTCCAAGGAGAAGGTATTTAAGAATTTTTTTTCTGTAGTAGTCCAAGAGAATTAGAAGAGAAGCGGTCATTTAAACACTGCAATTAAAGTGTCTAGGTTTTCCTTACCTGGTTTCATCTTTCTACTATGAAACTTAAATGCACTATAAAGAGACCATCCCAAAGAAGGTTAATCAAAAAGTAGGGCTTTCCAAGCACAAGCAAGTTTTGCCCCTTATAGCCTTCTTCCTGTGCCATGCACCAAGAAGATTTAAAAATAAGTTTTCTCCACAAAGCACCTCCAAGCTCCCTACCCTCTCTGCACTGCTTCAAGGTCGGGGAAAACTTCGATTACAGAAGCGGGTCCTCCCACCAGAATGGAAGAAGGAATGAATTAGTACTTATTCCTTTAAATTCACTCAACTCTCACAGTTACCTCCCTATTGCACCTACCATTCTGCAGGTTGGAGCAGAACATTCGGCCCCCCCCCCCACCACCACCCCAGGCCGCTCCACTTCTGTGTAAAGACACCAGCTGCAGAAACAACTACTTGAACCCTGCTCTCCTATAATCACAAGCACCTGAGAACTAAAATATGGTAGTATTTGATAAATTAGGTCTCCTATCTTTCAACTGCTTGAATAGACAAATCACAAATAAATCTGGTTAAATTGCTCTTTTCTGATTTGTAATTCACACATCATAATGATACTTCTGTTTGGTTATGCAATTTAAATATATATAATCAAGATGATAAGAACTATGTCCAAAACAAAAGTAAAGAAGGCACATGCGATGTGTTAAGGGTTCTCCTGTGAATGTAGCACATTAGGTTATGAGTATGTTTTGGAGCTGCACTCAGATTTGTGAGGTTCCTAGGTAAGTGATTTCCTTATCCTTTCATAGAATATATTCCTTTAATCTTTGTTACCTTTTTATTAGTAATTGTAACGATTAGTAATTTTAAGTTTTTGCTCTAGGGAAATTTTACAATTTTCAATGGAATTACTTTGTTTCAGAAAATTCTGGCAATAGAGAAAAAATTGGATGATAGAATTTATGAAAAATTCTACAGATAATTGGTTTCCCAGTTAAAATGAGCTGTAGAAAATTACCATGGAATAGAAAACATTTCCAGATCAAGAAATTTAAACATTTACATGTTACATTAGGGGGTACACACCATTTTTCTTTTATGTAATATTATCGTAAAGTGTTTTCCTTAAAATGATTAATAAATCCTGGCATCCAATTCAATTTTAAAAAAAATAAGCACATCTATCTTATAAACCTAAATACATACCAACCACTACCAAAGCTTTAAAAATGACTTTAGTTACACCTTCTCATTTTATAGATGTAGAAACCGAGAAGAAACATATATATGGCAAACAGGTACATGAAAAGGTGCTCAACATCACTAATCATCAAGGAAATTAAATCAAAATCACAATGAGATATCACCTCACACCTATCAGAATGGCTAGTATCAAAAAGACAAGAAGTATCAAGTGTTGACAAGAATGTAGAGAAAAAAGAAACCTGTACACATCGGTGGTAATGTAAACTGGTGCAGCCACTATGGAAAACAGTATGGAGGTTCCTCAAAAATTAGAAAGAGAACTACCATATGATCCAGAAATTCCACTTCTGGGTATTCATCTGAAGAAAATGAAAACACAAACTCGAAAAGATATATATGCACCCCTATGTTCATTTCAGCTTTACTGACAATAGCCAAGACATGGAAGCAACCTAATTATCCATCAGTAGATGAATGAATAAAGAAAATGTGCCATATGTGTGTGTGTGTGTGTGTGTGTGTGTGTGTGTGTGTGGAATATTACAATAAACAATGGAATGTTATTCATCCATAAAAAGGAAATCTTGCCATTTGTGACAACATGGATGGACCCTGAAAGCATTATGCTAAGTGAAATAAGTCAGACAGAGAAAGACAATTATGTTTTTAAAACAAGCAAACAAAAAATCACAAACATATATACAGAGAACAGACTGGTGGCTGCCAGAGGCTTGGGCTGGAGGGTGGGTAAATGGATGACGGAGATCAAAAGGTACAAACTTTGTTATAAAATAAAAAAGCCACAGGGATACAATGTACAGCATAGTGATTATAGCGAATAATGCTGTACTGTATATCTGAAAGTTGCTACGAGTAGATCTTAAAAGTTCTTATTACAAGGAAAAAAATTTTGTAACTACGTATGGTGATGGATGTTAACTAGAGTTACTGTGATGATCATTTTAAAACATATACATACATTGAATCATTATGTTATATACCTGAAGCTAATATGTTATATGTCAATTATATCTCAATTTAGGAAAAAAAAAAAAAAAGGAAAGAAAGAAAAACTCAGGCCCAGAGATACTAAGTATTAAGTGACAGGTAGAGAATCATCCAGACTCTGAATCTGATACAACAAAATCCAAGCCTTCATACACCCAAGTTAATGTTCTTTCTATTATACCATGCCAGCTCCTTTGTTTCTGTTTCAAATATTGAAACAGAATTGAGTATTTTTTGCTTTGTTTATGTTTATGCCCATTTAAAAAATGAGAAGGAAAATAAAGGCCAAGGCAGGTAAAGGTTTAAAGTTTTCCGTATTAATCAGTCTCAAATATTTTTTAAGCTTTGTTTACTAATGCAATTCTTTTAGAGTTTATAACATTTATGCTTATTATTCTGTAGGGGAAAGGAAAAGCAAAACAACCTGTGCCTATGGACACACTGTCATATGCTTACTTCAAGTGCGCTGGTACTCATAACATCCACTGGAGGGAAGCAAACACTAGATTTTGAGCCTTACCTGCATTGGTGTTTCACTTTCTTGTCGAAACCCTTCAATCTGCTGCTGCTGCCAAGGAGCTAGACTGTGAGAGTCCTCTGTAGTTCTACCTTCCAAAGGGTTTGTCCGCAACTGCTCAGTAAGCCACATCTGCGTCCTCACAGAAGGCTGAATGGGAACTCCACCTACTGCTTGTTGACCAAGCATTAAATATTTTGGCGGTTCAAAAGCCTCTGAGCTTGTCATAATGGGCTTGCTTTCAGGTAAGGCACTATATGTCATGTCTAAGGCCTGTCTCCTAGGAATGGAGGAAGAAGCTCTAAAGTCCTCTTTGCTGCAGCTCTCAAATTTATATTTGTTGTCCAGAGTTGATGGTCGTTTTTTATTTATTTCCTTGTCCTCTAGCTTAAGCATCTCCATACTGTCATGTAAACAGCTAGGTCCAATTGTCCTTAGTTGTGATGTTAAAGCCTTGTCTCTCCCTGTCTTTTCTAAACCTCTCCTTGACTCTTCTGTGTGCACAATGCCACCCTGGCTGCAGTTACCTGGGACAGTGAGTTTGGATAAAGATGACCATTTCCGGAGAGGCCGGAAGTCCTTCATGTCTAGTGAAGAGTCCTGCTCTCCCCTAATGTGGTTTCCCAATGTTTGCATAAGGCTTATACTCCATTTTGAGCCATCTGATGTCAATGATTCCCTATGTTTGGAAACTGAAGCGCTGGAGTTAGATGGCATGACATGGGCAGTGGGAAGAGTAACCAATGATCGACTAGGCTTAAAAGATAATGTGCCACTTGAAGTTGAATGATCTGGAAAGAAAAAAGAATGCCAAATTAGTTGTAATTAACAGAAAAAAAAAAGAGGCAAAATGTAAAACGCCAAAACAAAAGTCTGAACATGGTTTCCCAGCACAAGTTTTTCAGAGGCACTTTCATCAAAATGAGGGGCTTATTATTGTTACTATTATTATTATTATTCCTTTAAGTTTATCTGAAACAAATCAAACATACTTTCAAATATCATTTTCTAAAAACGGATACATAACAAAATATATGCTCATCTGCCATCTACTTACAGATGAAAAATGACTGGGAAACAGGTTTATATTCATGCTATTTAATCTAAGTATTGTGCCTTAAAAGAAAAATCCATCTCTGCATTGAAAGGTCTTATTCATGATCTATCACTGAAGCCTCAGACACAACTTTATTAAAAAATCATATCTCTTAGTGTCTTTCCTCAACTGTGGAAATAGAGGCCCAATATGAACATTTTAGCACCTCTCAAACTACAATTCAAATTAAAATATGGGTAAAGGTGCTCCTGCAATAATGGAAAATAATCATAAAGTGTTCTAGCAATATATTTGCAGATACAGAGTAGTTCCTACACTCCCAATCTCCCTTAATGGCATCATCAATAATATATTTCCCAAGCTAGAACACCTGGAGTCTACTTTGATTCCTATCTTTCTCTGCACATTTACTAAATCCCCACGTTGTACATTTTTAAAATAATTAATTAATTAATTAATTAATTTTTGGCTGTGTTGGGTTTTCGTTTCTGTGCGCGGGCTTTCTCTAGTTGTGGTGAGCGTGGGCTACTCTTCATCGCGGTGCATGGGCCTCTCGCTGTCGCGGCCTCTCTTGTTGTAGAGCACAGGCTCTAGATGTGCAGGCTCAGTAGTTGTGCCTCAAGGGCTTAGTTGCTCCATGGTATGTGGGATCCTCCCAGACCAGGGCTCGAACCCGTATCCCCTGCATTGGCAGGCAGATTCCCAACCACTGCACCACCAGGGAAGCCCACGTTGTACATTTTTACTTCCAAAATGATTACATAGTCACTGCTGTAGATCAGGCCTTCACATAATACTATCCTACACATAGGAACAGCTGTAGTAGGCTCTACAGAAGCCCAAAGGATAAATAAGGGCCTCTATACTCAATGGACTTACTATCAAGTACCAAATTAAAATCAAAGATTATCATTTTTATCACATGATATCTAGAAAGGCGATAGAGATTTGAAATGTAGGGGGAGAGGAGGTGGGTGGTGAAAGGCAACTTTTACAGTTTTTTCTGTATCTTTCCATGTTGTTTGACTCATAACAGAATATATTTAAATATTAGTTATGAGCTTTGATATTGTTTTAAAGAAATAAAGTAATAGTAAAAGAAATGTTGAGAAAGTCATAAGAAAATTCAGATGAGAAAGACCCAGGCAAACTAATTCAAAAATGGAATTCCAATAGGTCTTTGCACAGAATTTATTCACCTGGAGATGAAAGGGGAAAAACATTATAGATGAAAGAATACAAGAAAAAGTAATATAGTAGACATTTACCATGTAACAGTTTCCCATCAGCTTCTGCAGAACCTTTTCTTACTCAAGAAAATTCCCACATTATAAGCCCAACCTCCCAAAATAAATTTTAGACCTTAAATTCCCAACATACCCTGCAACTATGATACAGACATTCAGAAGGACCTGCACAAGATTTCAGTTTGGAAGTGAGTCACATGAGAAAACAGGCTCAGTGTGGAGCTACCACGTTTGGCAACAGCAGAGGCATTAGCCCCCAACAATGACAGCAGCAGAGGTAGCCAAACCAAGTTCTGGCCCAGAAGTGGCAGCAGTTGGGCAGCAATGGTGGTTTCCTCCAGTGGGGCCGGAGGGTGCCAGTTCTCAGAGGTGACTGAGGCATATTACCTGGAAGCTTAACCATAAGCCTGGCTCTCCAGCCCTCCTCAAAAATTCTGAGTTAACCAAATGCCCTTAAATAAATTCCTCATCTGCTCAATCATCCAGTCAGCTTCTTCTACTGATTCAGAACACTAACTGATCCAAGTATGAAGCCAGGAGAATATGGCCTCAAAAAGAAAAACAAATTATCCCATTTATCTGCAGTATGCAGTAAGTATCAAGAAAAGCTGCTCAAGATAATTCTTGAAAGGTAAAGGCAAAGCAGAGCTGTGCAAATCTTCAAATGCCCTGCTACAGAAACAGCCTACCCTTCATTCGGCATGAAATGTGACATACCAAAAGATTCCAAACAAAGGAGCAAGTGACATGACCAAAACTGTACTTAAGATGATTATTCCAGTAACTGCTGAGGACAAATTAAAGCAAAATGATTGGCAGCAGGAAGATTAATGGATTATTATGGTAATCAGTAGAAGAAGGAAATAGAGAGGAATATGCTACTGAAGGTCAGTTCTAAATAGAAATAGGACAAATGACCCCAAAATTCTATGGAATATTGGTATTAATACATTACAGCACTATATCTACATCTATATATGTGTTTGTGTTACTATTCCTAAAGGAATATTTGTATTAAAATCATCATAGCCTCTCAAAAATATCTTCAATTCTTTAAAAAACAAAAAATGAGTTTTATATCAAATTTAAAATTTTCAGACTTTTACATTTTTAAAAAGCTGTAAGTAAAGATGGTGTAAAGGCTAAGTGTAATATTTTTGAAATCAGCATTTTTAGATTCAAATCCTGGCTCTACCACTTAGTAGTTGCATGTTCAAACAAGTTATTTAACCTTCTTGCATCAGTTACCTCATCCATAAAGTAAAGAGGACAACAGTGAAGATTAAATGAAATAATACATGTAAAGGACTCAGAAGAATTCCAGGCACAAAGCAAAATGTTCGTTATTATCACACTGTTGAAATAGCTATGGGGGACCTTCAAGATGGCGGAGGAGTAAGACATGGAGATCACCTTCCTCCCTGCAAATACATCAAAAATACATCTACATGTGGAACAACTCCTGTGGAACAACTCTACATGTGGAACAACTCCTATGGAACAACTCCTACTGAATGCTGGCAGAAGACCTCAGATTTCCCAAAAGGCAAGAAACTCCCCACATAACTGAGTAGGGCAAAAGAAAAAACAGACACAAAAGAATAAGGACAGGACCTGCACCAGTGGGAGGGAGCTGTGAAGGAGGAAAGGTTTCCACACACTAGGAAGCCCCTTCTCTGGCGGAGACAGCGGGTGGTCGGGGGGAAGCTTCACAGCCATGGAGGAGAGCACAGCAACAAGGGTACAAAGGGCAAAGCGGAGAGATTCCCGCACAGAGGATCGGTGCCGACCAGCACTCACCAGCCTGAGAGGCTTGTCTGCTCACCTGCCAGGGCGGGAGGGGGCTGGGAGCTCAGGCTCGGGCTTTGGAGGTCAGATTCCAGGGAGAGGACTGGGGCTGGCTGCGTGAACACAGCCTGAAGGGGGCCAGTGGACCACAGCTAGGCAGAAAGGAGTCCGGGAAAAGGTCTGGAGCTGCCTATGAGGCAAGAGACCACTGCCTAAAATCATAATAAGTTCACCGACACCCCAAAACACACCACTGGACGCAGTCCTGCCCACCAGAAAGAGACAAGATCCAGCGTCATCCACCAGAACACAGGCACTAGTCCCCCCAACCAGGAACCCTACACAATCCACTGAACCAACCTTACCCATTGGAGGCAGACACCAAGAACAATGGGAACTACAAAATTGCAGCCTGTGAAAAGGAGACCCAAACACAGTAAGTTAAGCAAAAGGAGAAGACAGAGAAGCACACAGCAGATGAAGGAGCAAGGTAAAAAACCCACCAGACCAAACAAATGAAGAGGACATAGGCAGTCTACCTGAAAAAGAATTCAGAGTAATGATAGTAAAGATGATCGAAAATCTTGGAAATATAATGGAGAAAATACAAGAAACGTTTAACAAGGACCTAGAAGAACTAAAGAGCAAACAAACAATGATGAACAACACAATAAGTGAAATTAAAAATTCTCTAGAGGGAATCAACAGCAGAATAACTGAGGCAGAAGAAGAAATAAGTGACCTGGAAGATAAAATAGTGAAAATAACTACCACTGAGCAGAATAAAAAAAGAATGAAAAGAATTGAGGATAGTCTCAGAGACCTCTGGGACAACATTAAACACACCAACATTCAAATTATAGGGGTCCCAGAAGAAGAGGAGAAAATGAAAGGGGCTGAGATAATATTTGAAGAGATTATAGTTGAAAACTTCCCTAACATGGGAAAGGAAATATCCTTCGAGTCCAGGAAGCACAGAAAGTCGCATACAGGATAAATCCAAGAAGAAACATGCCAAGACACATATTAATCAAACTATCAAAAATTAAATACACAGAAAAAGTATTAAAAGCAGCAAGGGAAAAGCAACAAATAACATACAAGGGAATCCCCATAAGGTTAACAGCTGATATTTCAGGAGAAACTCTGCAAGCCAGAAGGGAGTGGCAGGACATATTTAAAGTGATGAAAGGGAAAAATCTACAACCAAGATTACTCTACTCAGCAAGGATGTCATTCAGATTCGATGGAGAAATTAAAAGCTTTACAGACAAGCAAAAGCTAAGACAATTCAGCACCACCGACCCAGCTTTACAACAAATGCTAAAGGAACTTTTCTAGGCAGGAAACACAAGAGAAGGAAAAGACCTATGATAACAAACCCAAAACAATTAAGAAAATGGTAATAGGTACATACATATCAATAACTACCTTAAATGCAAATGGATTAAATGCTCCCACCAAAAGACACAGACTGGCTGAATGGATACAAAAACAAGACTGGTATATATGCTGCCTACAAGAGACCCACTTCAGACCTAGGGACACATACAGACTGAAAGTGAGGGCGTAGAAGAAGATATTCCATGCAAATGGAAATCAAAAGAAAGCTGGAGTGGCAATTCTCATATTAACCAAAATAGACTTCAAAATAAAGACTATTACAAGAGGCAAAGAAGGACACTACATAATGATCAAG